CATGGACGCAGAATATCTGCGTGGGATTTACAATCAAAGTGGATTATATCTGTGTGAGATTCACAATAAAAAGGATCACAATCGCGATCAAAAAGAAGAGAGGAATAAGATAGATACAATACTGTTATAGAAAGGGTGCATTCTGACAAGCCAGTGAGGAACAAATACAAACTAGTCTATTAGTCAAGTTGGTATTTTCAAGAAATCTCCGCATTAGCTAATCTAATGGCTATTCCACGAAATGAACCGAGGGATAAATGTAGCGTATCCTGGTTGAATATTTTATTTATGAAAGGTAGTACTCTGATCGCAAAGAATTTCGCTCTGACCTGTGATCTCACTACAGGACGTCTTATTTTTATGGTACTACCCCTAGTCCTAGATCGCACTAAAGTGAAAAAATCTGTGGGGTTTACAGCAACATATATTCTAGCAGTATAATAATATATTTATATATCCTAACAGTTAGGGCAAGGTACAAGGGACATTTTAGAAATAGTTTGTCGAGGGATTTCAACGCAGCGCTCAGAGTGAGGAACTTTGATGACGACCTTGTCAACTTCTTCAGCGTTTCTCTCATGGCGTGTTTTGATATCCTAGCCTTCTCTCTAATCAAGGTTCGTGTTAAGCAAGAACATACTTTACATCTGGAAGCGCTACCGGAGGGAAGTTCTTTCACATTGCTTCTTGGACTAGATCCTGAAAAAAACCATATATTCTAACGGTTAGGGCAAGGTACAAGGACCAGGCAGTCAGCAAGCACTATTCACTTCCAAAATAATGCCCATGCGATAGAAATGAACGGGCTTCAGTCCGTCCATATTCTCTATAACAGAACCCGCCATCACCATGCTGTTCGGACCGGTCTCCTATATCACCTAAGAAACGCCTCAAAAAAGTGAACGTCATCATGCAAGCGGGTCAAGTATGGTATCGGGCTAATTTCAGGATCAGCAGTGTCCTTATGTCCACCATTTATTCGTTCCCATGCTACGAAAATGTCTGCCGTGGAATTCGAATTCTTATTTGCAGTGTCAGCTTAGATATGACTCGATAACATATCTCTTACCGGGAAATTTCACTCAACCCGGCCAAATGAAATGAGGTGCACATTTCTGTACGCACTGCTAAACCCTTCTATGAAAGAAGTTACAGAGGGTTTTTGTTGCCGCCCTTGATTTTCAGTGTCTTGCCTGCAATCACATGTTAGCTGCATTATAAAAGTATTGAAGGGAGAACAGAGGCACCAATGAAGTGAGCTTCGCTAGCGCAGTTGGTAGCCGTCTTGCTTTTCAAGTAAGGGGTCGCGGGATCGCTTCCTTCTGGGGTTCGGTGTTTTCCTTTTTTCCAACATGACTGAAAAGTCTTTTTGAACCTTATTTTATCAACGGTCGCGCGACGTCACATCTACGAAGAGTTTGCAAGCAGATCCCCTTGAGTTTAAGCACTACTTGTCTGTGAGTGCCCAAGGTGCCCGTAGTGCAGGTGCTATGTTTTTCCGTGGCAGGTGCGTATCTTATTCCATATTCGTACTCAGAGGATCAAACTACCTCTGAAAACGAGTTTTTCGCCAAATCTGAGGTCATGAACTAATTGAGAAAAAGCGGAGCAGTGATAGGATCACCACTCCTCAAACTCCACTTTTTTTTTAGCTTGACCAATCATGGAGGACGGGGAGAGGGGAGAGAACGTGTTGTATTAGGAAATAACGCTTTGCAGATTCCTGGATGAGCAGAAGGGCAAGCCAGAACAACTTTTTTCCAATTATGAAAAGTGTTCAAAAGGTTCTTTCTACCCAAGTGCTAGCCTTTTGTAATGGATTGGTGGATCGGTAAATGACTGTCCAAATTTTCGAGGTTAGGTAAATTTCCAAATTCGCTAGAAGTTCACTAGAAGGGAGAGTCTGGCTTCCAGATTACGAATATCTTACCTGGCGCCCGGCGCCTGCGCTGCAAGCGCCCGTGAGGAGCGGCGCCACCCAAGTCCGTTGGTAATTGCTCTTAAATTTTTTGTAGGTTAACTATACGCAAGCACGTTGAACCAGCGATGCTAGGAATAAAAAGAACAAACTCGCCAGGTAGGCGATCCCCGGACCTCTTTCTCGTGAGCCTTGACCACAGCCCCTGCGCTTCTCTGCTTCATAATTCCTTTCAGAGAAGAGTTTAGCAGATAAGAAACACATACTTGAGCTCAGCGTCCCAAGGCGCGTATACACTTATATATCTCATTTCAACTGGCCGGGTTGACCAAATGACTTTCTTGGATAGACAATAGTAGGGAAAACAAGGCGAAAACTCAAGCGATACCCAAGTGTAGGCCATTTCTTTGGGTCGACACTAAGTTTCTTTGCTGCTTCGTGGTGGAAGCAGTCACTGTGAAAAGATTTTAGGTCTTGGTTCCTTCAAGAATTCTGAGTACACGATAAGACAAATCTGCTACATTAGAAACTAACACTGTTCGAAACTGTGTTTCAGGTATCGAACTGGTTTGGAAATCGCAGAATACGAACAAAAAAATCGCAGCGATCACAAGACGTCACAGAATTTGGCAGATTTTAGTGTCGTTGTTTGTGTTTAACTACTCTTTTGGTGGAGATGATCTTACTTTCCTCATTCAATCTTTCTCCTTTGCCTTCCCTGATCACTTACACACGAAAATGCTGCCTACTACAGTTTGGTAATGAGTGAGGATACACACAAGGCAACAACCCCATATCGAATTGGAGGGTAACAGCAGTCCATAATTGAAATGTGGACGCCGAGTTGACTTGAAATGAGAAAAAGAAGCGAAGCAAACCTCCGCGGAGCCCTTGAACAAGGGCTTTCTCTTCCGTTTGACGAGAGGGGCATGTTCAGACGAGTTGTCTGATCTTGTTACTCATGCTCCATTAACCCCCTAACTTGAATTAGCCGCTAAGTCGTAATCCACGCTGCGTGTTAAAGGTGCGCACGAAATATCTCGTCCGTCAGCTCCTAGCCGCCACCACGCGCCTCTCTGCAGGGCCCTAGCGGCATTGCTGCGCACTTTCGAGCAGCCACAACAGAACAACACAGAAAGATTGTTCGAGTAACTTCATCTGGGGTTGTTGCTTTACCTGGTTTGTACTTTCAAACTTCCTGTATGTTTCTTGATTGAAAAGCAACAATGAAGATCCCATGAGAATGGTTTCTTGAAACAATAGCAAGCATGGAAATACTATACAGTTCTTGGCAAGGTGTCAAACATATGTCTCGGGTGAAAACCCCATCCCATGCTTAGAATGGCGCTACTTTTAGTCTGTGTCATCGAGTGACATCCATTCACCGCTCCCTCCTGATTTGGCCTAAGGGCTAAGTCCTCCTGATTTGGTCTGAGGGCTAAGTTCATCGAGTTACCTCTCCCATTGTATATAGGGGGAGGGGGAAGAGTCACTGTGCCCATGGCGCACATCATCAAATTTTACGGCCGTTGCTGATGAATGTTTTACGGCAGAATATTTCTTAGATGTTCCCCAAAAGCAGAAGCAGACCATCCTTCACTCCGCCCACCGTCTTCAGAATATGACATCATCTGCCGTCACCGTCCAGCTCAACGAGGCTTGCCGCAATCACTCCCGCCGGAAGCTGCTACATAATTTCTTCAACCGATTAACTGGTGAATAGCTCCTCCTAGAGGCACTAGCTGTGGCTATGCTAGACGCTTTTTACCAGTGTTCCAGGGACGTCGTATCGTGGTCTGTGGTACCTCGACGACCTCGTTGAACTCGTATCGCAAACCATGTTTCTTTGGGAGAATCTTCTCATGTCGTCGGTGTAGAAGGCTATCATGTGACATTTTGATAGATTAGTCTGCGCTATTTAATATACAGTTGAGCTTGTTTGGTTTTGTAGCGTGTATTTAAATCCGTTTTGAATGTGGAGTGAAGTGACTTTCTTTGCCCCCCGCCCCCTCCCCTGTATACCCAATCACTGTGCAAAACAGTCTTTGCAGAATCTCACCTAACTATCAAGTGCTCTTATAAAAGAGGAAAGTGCGGTTCGCTAAATGAGAAAGCGGCTTCTCCTCTTTTCGCAGCGCTGGACTTTTTTTTCCTTAGCGAGAACCCCAGGTCCACTACTTATCAAGGGTGGACCGATGCAAGAAAACTTTCGCGCTTTGCAATGTGGAAAAGTCGCTTTCCATTGTAGCGAAGACAAACGTCCGCCTCGTTGCGGCCGCAACTATAACTTCAGCACAACCCTTCACAACATGAAGATTCATTATTAGTTTCTACATAAATGCGGAAAATTAAAGTCTCAATAATTCCACAGCATTTGTACAGCTTATCATCAATGATTTATTCATGCGAAATACCCACTGATGTTCAATAGGCAATAAAAATTGCCAAATTCATGTAGTGTCATGGAAAGGTGACTCCGCACGATTTAAAATCTGCAGTGCTCACAAACTAACTGTCGTAGAAGACGAAATCGGTTGGAAGAGATCATATAAAATATTACACAATGGACTACTTTAAAGCTCAATATAGCTAGGAAATTCGTTCAGAATCGTTCAAAAATCAATTGGACATTTGGATACGCGCACACATTGGGGAAAGAGTAATTGTTACGAGGCACCGCCAAATTGACGACGATTCCTTTCACGTGTGTATTATGAAACACGCCAAACTGACGATGACTGCATTTCACGTACATCCTGTTGCTACTCTTTCTTATTGTCGTCTATGACCATGAACATTTTCTGGCAGAAAACAGTAAGTAGTCCTGAAAACCAGAACAAAATAAGCAATGTCAGGACCTGAAGAGAACATAGCTCTAAATAACTCACTAGACGTGTTATTAAAGCAGCGTGGCTTGTTTTTCCATGCCACGAATAAGAGGTAAACTGGAACTCCAGTGAGCATGATGAGCAAGCCAATCGCTGAAAAAAAGAGCGTCAGCTGAACGAAGAAAATATGATACCCTTACTCTGATCACATACTTACCAGTATCTTTTGGTGCACCAATTATGGGTACTATGACAAGCGCACAACACCCCAGGAAAAAGATTGCGGGGAAAATTAGGTTGACCTGAAAAAAGAATTTGTATGTTGCGTTAAATATAGTAAAAACGAATAGTTCGCATTTATTTCGGCCTCGGGTGTCTAGTATACATGGCAAGACTGCTTTCAAAGGTTGAACATCGAACAGGAATATAATTTGCATCCCGCGCCCGGCATTTCACATTGGTGGGCTTGATCATTTTACATGATTTTTAATGCCCTTGTGGCTATGTGAGGACGGACTTCTTCTAGGAAAAAAGGTAGTCTATGACCGCGCATTTTGCCAAACAATTCAAGGATTACATATTTGTCCCCCAACAACCCCGAGCTGATCTTCGGGTCGAAGATTGGCGGAGACCGAGAAAACACGTATGAGGCTGGAGAATGGATGAAGTCAAAGCTCATAGTGTGCGGTAAATCTAAATGAAACAAGCTAGCCAGGCCTTCATAATACAAGGAAGTGGATACCCTCGGTAAGGAACTCTTTTCAAACCCGATTTATCTTCAACTTCGCCGCCGTGATTGATAGGACACTCTAGCCAAAGAAAATTTTTGAGCTCCTTGCACAACCCAACAGAGGGAGAAATAAGTACACTTTTATTCTTCAGAGCTTTTGTGCTCTCACCTATATTTAGCACCTCCGCATTAATTGATGAGAATTCTACGTTTTCTATGTTACCGGTGTCTCGCATACGCGCGCGTCATCGTGCGCAGCACGCTAGTGAACTATGTCCTCGTCAGACGGCGACATAAATTAAAGTGTTTCGCATACATTCACATGAGCTACTTCCTATCCTTGTTGTTATGCCACGTGTGCTGCAAGACCACGGTTGCAACATTCCTGGCTACGGAAAACAAAACTTATACCTTGATGGGTCTCGGCGCATCGGGCATCGTTTTCCTGAGCCAAAATAAAGCAGCAATAGCAGCTCCAATAGCAAGCCAGTAGCTGATTTGTATGTAATTGATAAGAGAAAACACATCATCCGAAAGGAGCAAATAACAGAGAGACAGAAAACCCTTAAAGTGCATTCAATGAGTAGCGGGATATTGTAGTTATACCAAGTAAACCTTAAACCTACAGTAAAGACGACGGCAGGAATAGGAGTTCGCGTGTTTTTGTTGATCATTGTCAAAATCAGAGGCATGTGTCCTTCCCTCGCACCAACATAGAAGAGTCTAAAATAAAAATATTTCCTGGTATGATGAAGCTATGAGTAATGCCATTCTACGAAAGAGTGAGCCACCACTTAAGAATTATCAACGCGGGCCGTACTGGATCTGTGTGCTTCGGTACAGCGACTATACAGTTGCAATAGCATGACCCGTCGGACAATAGACCCGTAGCCAATATCAGTCGATGCTCCATCAGGGGAGTTTTTTGAACGCGTCCGGTGAAAATTAACGATCTGGAACGGATCGTAGTTGTCATCGGACGCGTCAAATAAGGAGTATTCAGCATGAGAAGAGTATGTCAAGACCAGTACTAGTAACCTTACAGTAAACTAGAAGAAACATGGAGCAAGAAAGAGGTCGTATTGGGAGATCCATTAAGGGATGGGCGTCGCAGTGGCGGCCATTTATTCGACAGGTGGCCAACCCTATTCTGAGGAGGTTCGGTCTCTTTAGCTGACAAAATTGTAAAAACTTACCGTGAACTTGTAAATATAACACCATTCGCAGAACCTATCGTAGAGCAGGCGACAAAAACTGGCATGATGAAAGCAAAGCTGCCGTACATTTTCTCAGCGAATAACTGAAAAAAGATGACTTTCATGATATTTCATATGAATCGGTGATTCTAACAGGCGGGAATCAATAAATGGGAAATAAATAATTATTAACTAGAATTTCAACATACCACGGCAACAGCAGGACTAGCAAGCATCTCATCAGGCGATATGACAGTATAGAGGGCAATATTTGTCAATGTGTAAATCACAGTGACAAGGGTACAAGAAATGGCGATAGAAAGAGGAAGATTTCTGAACACACAATAATTAACGGTTGCAAACGTTAGTGATCGTTACGATACCGTTTAGGATTCTGCAACTCCTCGACGATGAAATTAAGATAATTCCATCCTTGATATGCGAATAAACCAGAATAGAATGCCAGCGAAGCAGTTTTGAAATCATGTGCGGTGTTCTCAAATATGTTCTCAAACGACTCGTAATATTGTGGTTTCCCTAAATTAGAATGAGGGCAGCGATATCATGGAAATCTATAATTTAAAAGCTGCATGTTTACCTACCTGTGCATAGAAGGATCGCTCCGGTGGCAATAATCATCACAAGAGCAAATATTTTGGCCACCGTGAAAAAATCTTGCACGAATGTTGCAAGACGCACAGAAATAGAATTTATCGCAGTAAGCAAAACTTAAACATTGTATTCAATACGAACATTTTACCGCACTTTACAGAAAAGTAAGCTCAAACTTACTGAGAAGAGCCGCTGCAAGTAATTGAGTGCTGCCAGCAGGTGGATCACAATCAGGATAAAATGGACGAAGCATGTAAATTGCGAACGTGAGCGCAACAATCGTTGCTGTACACGGCCTGCAGAAACATTTTGAAGCACTGTTTTGTGACGCTGTTTAGTTAGATTAAAGCTCTCATATGACGTTAATTGTAACATGCAAGAAAGTTGGTGGATTTTTTCCAGAGGTCCTGGGCTGGTCTCCAAGACTCATTATCAATTAATTATTTTTTCCTCTATAATCAATAGTTCCCATACTTTGTCTTCTGAGCCTCACTTGCACTAGTTTATTTCCAAGTTCCTTTTTTTTGAAGTCTCGTGCTGGACGTAGAGGTTTACGGACTACTTATTTTTCCTCAATGGTCCTGCCTCGATGGCTAGAGCACAGACGATTAGAGAACGGGTGAATGCCCTAGGTCTAAGCCTTGGAGAGGAGAGGGACCCACGAGAGAGCGCAGAAGTGGTTTAAAAGGCTGAGTTAAAGTAGTCCGTCAACCAATTATAGACTATCTCACATAGGCCCTCAATCAAGGTCCACGCTAGCATTGTTACTTTGAAAAAAATTACTACTCTGCTACGCACAATTCACAAGCCAGCTCCTAGACAGTTCTACGCTGATTTGCTCAAACAAAACCCTCAGTTGATCGTTGTCAACGTCCGATATTCGATCAACATAATATCCGGAGCCCCAATCCATGCATGAGACACGAAATGTTAGTGAGAAACTTTTGAAGTATACAAAATAGTCGCTAGTGCAATCATCTACACCTACGAAGCCTTTGAAATCACCCTTTCTAAGAGTCATGTACTTCGGCCGTGTGCTGGAAATTGCTCGATTAACTGAACTAAGGCGAGTCGTCTTATCGTGTGACAAGCAATCAATCATAAAACAGAATAAAAAGTCTTAAGAGCTCAGCTCGTCTTTCAACGACAATCAATCACACAGAAAATTTTGCCAAATTGCGGACGAAATTAGAGGGGATGCTTAGCCACTTTTTTCCTTCCATAATGAGCCCATGTTCCACAAGAAAGCCTTCTATCCGAAAAGAGCTGCAGCTCACTCCATTAGTTTGTGTCAGCTGATCGAACTTTAACCTGAGTATGATTTAAATCTCAAATGAAATTTGAAAGGAGACCTTGGTAGATCGATAGCGAAAGCGGTATTGAAAGCTGTCTTACAAATGTGAACACCGAGACTATTTCGTGGACTTTCTGAGAAAGATGTGAAAGTAAACGCAATCGATAGATGCTCGCAAAGCCTCCTCCTATCGAGGGAATATAGATCAGTTGTTATGTAAAAACAATACAGGTACTGATGAGTGATCTCAATCACTCACACAAACAACGTTTCAGAGAAAATGGAGATCTTGGTCAAGATCTCAATTTGTTCCAACTTCACCTGGATAGTTAAGGAGCTACGCTGACTAATACGAGATTCCCCTTCAAAACAGAGGCGACCTGGCGCCAGTTCGACATCACAACCTTTTTCCAGTTTGTTAAGACCTTATGCAGGATTTATTGAGGCTCAGGTCACGGAACTTGCCCCACACACCCTCTTTTAGCAACGTTGACCCGCACAACTTCCTTAGGCAGTTAACGTAGCAGCTTTAATGTCTTTGGTTTAATAGCCTCCCATAACATCGACTTTCCAGGATCTCCTTTTAAGGCCCATTGAACGGTAAAACCACTCCCTGGGATCGTGAACGTGAATAGGGACGTTGCCCGAACCATGGATTGGTAGTAGATTTACCAAATGGAAGTCGCATTCTCTTAAAGCCGTCCATGAACGATTCGATAACTGAATGTACACAATTATTCCAGGCTACACCAATTGCACCTCACTGAGCTCATCGACTAGCTCAATGAATAGCGCCACATCTTGAAGACGATTGAGACAAAGGGCGAAGACTTGTTTCTGCTTCTCAATGAATGTTTCCAGAATATTTCGCCGCATAATTTCCACTGATGTTGCCTTTCTGCGCGACGTAACCATTGCTCCTGCGCAAAACGACCATAAAGAAAAAGACAGGTCTTTCTACAAAAAGCGATTCCAAGTGGAAGTATTTCTACAGAGAACGAATTCGACTGACGGTTGATTAGAGGATCAAAAGGTAGCATTTTAGACAAACCTCACAACGATGCTCTCTATCCACAATCGAACAAATGCCAGAAACGGTCCAAACGCTTCCATAATGTAGGCATAGTCGCCACCAGATTTACGAATCAGTGTTCCTAATTCAGCATAACAGTAAGCACCAATGGCGGCAAAAATTCCCGACACGACCCACACGACCAATGAAAGACCGACTGAACCCGCTTCTGTAAAAAAAAAGAAAATTATGAAAGTGAGATGAAACAGGAAAAGCTTTAGAGAACCTACTTTCCTGTACACCAGTGGGACTCACAAATATTCCTGAACCGATGATGCAACCAACAATTATAGAAACTCCATTGAAAAGCGTCAACGACTTGGCCAAGCCCCTTTCATCATCCTAGAAAATGAACACATTAGAGAATATACATGCATCGAAATGAGATCACTGCTGCGGATGTCTAAATTTCTGAATAAAAAGCTCGCATTAATGAAGGACAGGAGGAACCTCTAGTGGTACAATAAATCAGTCTCACCGAAGTGGCGGCCAAAGCTATTCGCACCTAATTCCGACAGAGGACAAAATTTGCATTGAACTGTACTCAATGGAGCGGGTGCAATGGTGGCATATTTTGAGAAAAAAATTGTCACCACAAACGTGCAATCAAGACCGTTTCCCTCTCCAAAGGAAATCCCATGAAAATGCGTATATCAACAAAAAAAGGCTAAGAAAATCACGATTAATTAGGAGTTTTTTGCTCCACAGACAGCTCATATTTTCCACCACTACCCACCTTTAAGCGACTGGTCACATACCCCAGGCAAATGTGAGAGAAACGGCTGTGGAGAACAAAATATGCCAGTGGAAAAGTGGAAAAGTGGGGGCGGGGGGTACCGTTTATATTCTAGACAAAGGATGCGCGCAAAGTAACGTCGGAAAAACAAAAAGAGTACTTCATATGCGAACGAACATCGAAGGGCTCTGCAAAGGCCTCCTTCATCCCCGGATGAACTTTCTCCGAGCAAAGAACCCAAAAACATGCTCACTGGGCGCCTCCAAACCTGAACATTTTATTCTAGACCGCTAAATTGGAAATACCTTGGGAAGAAAAAAAAAGAGAGGCACAGGAAATAAAAAGATTAGCCCCAGAAATGATTAGCAAGGCCAAGTTACGTGACACTCTTCAACTTATTGCACGACTGCATGATCAGCACTGCGAGATGGATGCGGTATCTTCCTGATTGGTGTCGTAGCAAGTCTTAGCAATTTGAGGGTAAGGGGCTGGAAGTATTTTCTGCTTTACAAAACTGTAGATAGCAGTTTTCAAAAATGCGAGTGACAGCAGGTCAGTTAGTTGATACATATAGTTGACTAATTAATCAACACTCTCAATAGTCAATCGCAGTACATCAGGCTAACTGCAGAGTTCCCATACGAGGATTCGCTGCTCTGCGAGCGACTGCCAACGTACACCCTCTACAACCCAGGAGAAGGTTCGAAAACGCTTCTTCATAGCATTTGCAGAGAACGCAGAATCCCGGTGCCAACGCAGTAAGCGGTTTCAGCGATTTCGAGATGGAAATAAAACCCTCGAAGAGAAGAACCTGCAGTGGTGACCTACAATGCTCTCAGAAAAAATGAAATCAGATCCTTCTCAAATGACGAGAAAACCGCGACGACTTTCAAGTGTTACTCTTCTACGATCGCCAGGCATTTGAATGCAATTGACAAGCATGAATGCAATATAGTTTGAGCCAGAGGAGCAACAACGGCATGATAACGCCATATCGAAGTGAATTCATTTATTTTCGAAATCACACTTTATTTCCCGTACCCAACGGACAATGAGTCCTAATGGCAGCATTACAAGGTGAGGAGAGTACGTCGAAGTGACCATTTGAAATTAGACGTACACCTTGCGCGATTTCGGAATCTGTTTTCCATATCTGCTGGACGATGAAGCGAACAAAATTATGGTGTTTTCGGCTATGTAGAAAACCCTGAAGGCTACTTTGTTTTTTCCCCATAAAATATTGACAGGGGTCAGATCGCCATGAAGCTTGTATCATTTCTCAAAGGTAGCTTGACTTTTGATGAGTTTCTCTTTGAACTGTCTCAGTTTGGTAGCATTCCAACGTACGCGGCTTACGAAAGACACGTTGACAGGCCGAGCGAATGCATTCGCCTTCAGGAGATCAAGCTACCTTTATTTGTGGGGGGAGTCCTCACAATCCCATTCTTCCGACCCTTACATCGAACATGTGGGTGCACTGTGGGCAGAGTGCCTTTCTGGTCGCTGGTGCTCTCAATGGCGGACCACGACTGTGTGCAAGGAGATTAACCTCGTTGCCCGCTCCTACGCATGTAGTTAATGGTTCTAACCAGTAGCACTAAACGAAATTCTAGCGTAGACACCACTTGAAATCACAGCCGCAGACCGCATATTTGATCTTAAACCCTCACGCATCACGAGCGCAAGTTCTCGAACTCTATTAAGGACTCACACAATTAATGTTCCCAAAGAATGCGAAGATGATGTTTGAGGATGATTACAAGCTTCATCTTTGGCGTATCAGGCTAATTCCAATTGTAGAATTTTAGCAAATTAGTGGTTTGATGGGTTTGAAAAGTTGAAACTGCCGAGAAGCAGGCGACCAGATGTATCCATAACTAGTTTATCCAAAACGGTCATGTTCCTTCGTGAACAGCAGTTTTTTTTTGGTAAAATCTAGTTATCAACAACGATGCAGAAGTGGTTTTGCAAGTGCAGAGAAATAATTGGAACGAGCTGCAGTAGACGTCAAAGGCGATGTTGCTTTGATTACTCGAATCGAGACACACTTCTTGCCGTTTACTGACGTGTGTATATACTTGTACTACGCACTTAATCACATATCAAAAAACCAGGAATGCGGGGGATGGAATCTGCGCACGGACCCGGATCTCCCCCTCCCCCAGGTTTTGCATTTGAATATCCCCTCTATTCAGGGGGAGGAGCAAAAAAAAGTCCCTTCTCTCCTTATTCAAAACGGATTTAACTACATGTTGCAAAATCAAACTAGATGCTCAACTGTATATTAACACGTTGACAACAGGCTGACGCGCATACGCGTCGAAAATTTGGCACCGCATCAGACGTTTTGACGCGCACGCGCGTCAGAACTATGTCATCCATTTTCACAGTGCTTGCGCTCCTTCTTTTTTGTTTTTGCAGTTTTTTCTAGTTTTTTTTCTGCAATCACTCTATAGATAATATATTATAATACATAACTATAAACCACATGGTAGCCAGAGTGGTCAAATATCCATTGATTTAGCGAAGATTTCCTGAACGCACGAAACTTTCACTTCAATTCTTTCTTAGTATTCCTTTCACTGTCGTAAACATTCACATGAAATATTGTAGTAACAGTTAATACAAAATTTTGTGAGTTTCATGATATTTGTATTTGATGGAAGAACATAAGTAAACGCTTCTAACTTCCTTCGCAGCGGAAGTGATGTTTTTTGCTTCTTCGTGGTCATTACGCGTTCTTCTAAACAAAATACTGCCACTCATATGGCTAACCTTTATGCTTTCATCCTTGCCGAAATACTTCTATGAGACTCAAGTTGTTGTGCATGGACAAAAAATAGTGGGTGTAAGGTGAGGACGGCGCGCTCTCAAAATCGCTCCCGTCCCACGCAAAGCAAAATGCAAAACATGCGATGTCGTCAAGGTGTTAACAGATGTGCCAATTTTGCGAATGCAATATATGAATGATATATAATATTCGCCAGATGGCGCCGGCATAAAAGATGCGGTCAGCTGACGCCTCTTCGTCACGACGGCTGTTTTCATAAGATCCGATGTAAACTTATGTAGGACTATTTAATGTTCTCATTATAATATACATTTTAGACGCTGACGCCGCCACTACTTTCTGCTCGTTCCGCCTCTTAATGACTGACGCGATTAGAGCTAAGATTCAGGGAAGGGAGGGCTCAGGGAAGAGAGAACCCAAGAGAGCAGGAAATATGAGGCAGCGCTAATGCCAACAAACAAATATGTAACATTTGTAATCCGGACGCCAATAAGAACTTACACAGCTCCTTATGCGCTCATGTCGTTAGGGGAGGGAAGGAACATTGAAGTGAGTGAGCGTCTTACACAATTTGGAACTAAGCCTTAGGGAATGGAAGGGATTCTGAAGAAGGACCTGAGCAAACTTTGTTCTCCCAGGGATTACCCCCTCCACTCCGGGGCTTAATCACAGTGTCACCTAGCAGCGATTTTTAATGCCCTGCCTTGAATTCCCCCTAAGGACGCGAGCGCCGCCCCTTAAACCGAATCTGGTGAAAACACCCCTCAAGACAGAATCACCAGCGCCAAAGGTGAATATCATATTCATTATCAGGGCAACGATTCACCCGCAAAAAATACGACAAGAAATGAATTTTCAGGTTGTAGGACAGTGGGTAGTAGCATAGTAACAACAAACGCTTATAGTGATCGGTACTTAAACAAGTTTTACTTGATGACATAAGTGCTTAATGAAGAAATTCGTTGTTCAAAACAAAGAATCTCAAAGCATTTCATTCGTTCGACTTAAAACCACACCTGCTAGGTCGTTTGTTCATTTTACGAAGAGAGGAGCATAACAGCTGAGCAAGTAAGGGGCCATAAATTAAGAAAAAAAACAGCATTCATTTGGTATTAAACTTGTGATTAAGGTGCGCTAGGTCAGATCTAAAGATTAAGGCATGTTCTTACTGACTGAAAACTATTATAGATAAAGGTAAAACGAAGAATTAATACTCGATAAGAATGTGTAATGAAAACGCGTAAAACCACAAAGGATTAGAATACATAATCAATGGATAGATAATGCCTCCTGCCTTTGTTCCCGGAGACCATCTGATCAGATTCCATCTAACTTACGGCAAAAACCACGGTTTCCCTTGCGACTTAGGGTGGGATTGAAAGCGGGTCAGTTCTTAATCCCACGTCTCTCGTTCTCGTGCTCGAAACGGGCATTATGTTTTACTCGCGCTTCATTCGCACAGATGCTTTATCATCCAATGTCAAGGAACACACGTCCATATTCACTTTCAAAAAAGGTAATCCACCCCATAACCCACAGAAGGTTTAATCCTATACTCTCCTAACTTACGCATGACAATAACAGCGTTAACATCAGCGACATTCAGCATCAATGGAGCTGAATTCACCGAATACTAACCTTGTGGAAGAAGGAATCTTCATCGCGTGGGCTCACCTATAGGGAGCCGTGCACCATACAACGCCCGCTATGTCAAATGAGAGCACATCAGCGTTGTTGCAACTCACACATGGTAGCAATCGACTAAGCCTCTAGGAAGTTGAGTAAACGCTCATAAATCATTTACTTCGGGCAAAACTTCTCCTGTAGCGACCTAGGAACAATGAGACAAAATAACTCGGTGTATGATCCCTTCCTGAGCACAGCACAGATGTTTGATGCAACGGCAAGAGGAGAGGGGCCTTACAGGAGCTCATCAAATACAATTGTAAAAGATGGTTAGATCCAGATAGGTGTTTGAAATCGTAAAACGTTACATGAAGTCTTCAT